GTTTATATATTCATTTTTATGTGTTTTAGTGAAATAATCAACCAGCAAACCTAGTTTTGTGTAGGAGTGGCAGAACCCGGGGGTGGAGTCAAATGGGGAATCAGCCTAGAATCTCTACGTAGCCACAAAACTAAGTCTAACCCTTCTTGAATTCACTTTACCATTATCTAGTGCCAAAATAGGCCTTTCACACCAGACACATTATCCTCCATGTAATTAGCCCAGATCTTCCTCTATTTATTGCAGATTTATTATTTGTGCCTCTTCAATAACCATACATACATGAACACATTGCCAAATGAAAGCATTTATTAAAAGACTTTATTCACAATTGATTTTTTTTACAAATATAGTTCTTAAAAATTAAGCATTTTGATCTCTTGTAACCAGATATTTCTATAAAGGTGGAAAAAGACTAAGTGGAATATGCACAAACAAAAACATTATAACAAAATGACTGCATGATCAGTTCACTTTACCAACGAAGTGTCATTTGGGATTACAAAGCTGTCATACAACACACATAGCACTTAAGAAATTCCAGGGTTTTGTATATTAAGTATTTGAACAGCCACACTGTGCATATCAATGTGGTTGATTTAGCTTTTTTGCTAAAAAGCAATGGAAATTTAGACGCTGTCTAATCTGGAAAAGACACTTAAAAAAAATAGAGTTACTTTATTGTTAAACTATATACACAGTGATCAGCATTAATTCAGTCATTTCTGGAAGGATAAAAGAGAACCCCAAAGTTGCTTGTGTGACGTTGCTAGTAAATTCTAAAAAAAATAATCTGAAGCTATTCACACCATTGTAAATAATTTCAGGGTTTTAGCAATAACTTTTAAAATGGCAATCAATCTGAAACTTTATACTTTGGCAGTTTTCTGTAAAACTCGACTTTGCCGTTTTCAAGATATAAAACAATGTTTCTTTTATAGTTAGCAATTCTAAGGGACATACAATCTTCTTGTCTACTTACATCACTTTACAAAAAAGATACATTAGTGCAGCTTATACATATAACCTGATTACCTCTAAGTTATAGAACTATAGAAACTTTGTGCTCTTTTAAATAATAACCCCCATGAGAAAATTACAACTTTCTTTAAAAAGAAATATGAAATTGATAAAAACACTTGAGTCACTGCATTTGAGATTATGCGCAATTGCCTCTAAAGAATGGAAAGGGGGGTGGGCATAATTTTTAAAATCATTTTTCATTCGATTTATAGAAGCAGACAAAGATGACTACAAGAAAATATTAACTTCACAGACATTAAGCCATTGGTCACTGGCCTATGATTTATTAAATAAATCACAATGGTTAAGCTCACACAATATGGGAACTTGAAATCAGACTATTATACCTTAAGGTTACATGTGAGCAAGTCAGAGTCCAATTTACCCCAAATGGCACCCAGATGCAGTATTTGCTGGAGGAGTGGCAGCGAAAAGAGAGGAGCGGAAATGCCACATATGAGCCAATATCAGCTTCACAAATTAAATATAATGATTAGAGAGAATAAGTGAAATAATTCCCTTGTATTTATTTTTTTAAAACTGGCACATTTTGGGGAGCAAGCTGGTATAGTATTGGAAGTGGATTGCTGGATGCCTAACACAGCATTTCTGTGAAAGATATTTGAGTCCAATAATATATAGTCTTGGAACACTTATATTAACCAAAAAAAAAATCCCACAAGAACAACAAAAAAGCAAACCCTTGGATTATAGCCTTAAAAAGGGGGAACAAATTATTTGCTATTCCAAATATCTTTATGTAAACATAACAGTGAGGATATGATATGATTCATGATATGTTCATGATATACTGTAGGTGGAAGATAAACAATAAAGGACTATTGATGGTTCTACCAAACAGTAGAGTCTTGGAGAACAACTAACAAAACAAACATGAAGTACTGCATCAGAGATAGTCATACCAGGTAACCATTTCTGGTTTTATGAGTTTATTCTTAGGAAATTAAAAAGTTTTAACAAAATGTGTTCTTCAAAAGGTCTTGAACAGGACTAAAAGAATTTAACTATCATCTGTTGGATGATGCAAGGCAAGTCATGGCAGTGCACAGTGTCATAAGGAGGAATAATAACTTACAGTGTGTTTTATGAAAAGGATTTCAAGGTTCGAAGCCGTAACAGACTTTTACCATCAATGGTGGCTCCCAAAGAAAGTAAAAATGGCACTTTAGTTGGAAAAATAAAGGTTAAGAACTGGAAATCAACTGTACTTTCTTACATTAAACTGCTACATAATTTTTATTTTAAAAAATGTGAACCGATAATATTGCACATTATTAGCTACACAAATGATTGCTGCCCTTCTACACTTACTTTCAGAAAGTGCATTGACTTTAAAAGTATTTTGGTCAATCAATACCAGTAGATTTGTAACAGGATGAATAATATTAATAATAAATCCTGTACAGCAGTATATAGTTTGATTCTCACTCTATGTAATTATATACTGCATATATGTCTTACTAGTTAACATGCTGAGCAGCTACAGAAGCTATCTTTCTTTGCTGATAAAACAGGTTAATGTTATTTGGTAATTAATTTTATGTTACATCTGTAATATAATACTTGCTGTAACCCAGAAGAAACCTTACTACTTATTCCATTATTATGGCAAGAAAATCAACTGTCCCTATGTAAAAACGGGTTGTGATGTAATTTGTATTCCCCCCCCCAAGTCATACATATTGGCATTGAATCTAAAAACAAAGCAGAAATTAATTTCCCCCAATGTTCCATAATAGAAATTCTATTTGCTTTTCTGTAAATCAGCATTTGAAAAACTTAATGTGAAGAACCAAACAGAAAATACAAGGGCCCAACAAATGAGAAGCAGTTTGATACTCAAAATTATATGCATGTTAGTAGTATTCTATATAATCGAGAAATGACATCATTTTGTACAAAAATGTCTTAATATAATAATGATTTGCTAGCTGTAACAGTCCTGTTCCAAATATACATGAATGTCCTTGTTCCTCCAATAATTTTACTTGCTGATTTTTTCAGTTGCCATGTTTGATTTTCAGAATATTTTAAAGATTTGGACGGTGTGTGAAACTTAATATGCAAACTGGGACAGAGAGACACAGAAAAAGATTCAGGTAAAATTGGGAGGGCAGGGGCATGAAAGGGAATTATTGCTTCTGGTTCTCCCTATTCAGACTACCAGATCATCATTATGGCCAAACCTAGAACCTAGCACAATATGATCATCCATAGGCTTCATAAATAGAGATGTGATGTTGCAGCAGCACTGTAGCATGACTAAGCCATACCGCAGAGGAAATGATTTGTACTGAGAATGTAGCAAGTTCTGAAAAAGCCTCACCTCAGTGCAGACACTCACAATGTTATGTATCATCAGGTTGTCTGTGGATCAGGGTGTAAGTTTATGCAATTTTTCATCTTATCTTGGTTCAAAACTTAGATAGCTAGATTTGATAGCATAAACATGCTTGCACTAACTAATTTGAGTGTCCAGATAGGAGGCTGTGTCACGGTATAGTAAATACAATTTTTAGGACTGCAATGAAACTTTTAGGACTAGAGGGTAGCCACAATTCAGTTTTAAAAGCTACATAATGAAGAAAGGCTACCACAACAGGTTCCCTTCTGTTGTACACCAATTCCCAGCTTTCTTTTCAACAAAATTTTGCTTTGTTACATGAAGGCTGCTAAACATGACGTGTCATATAAAATTAACCCCTACTCGCATTGTTTAATGTTGCTTATTAAAACTATAATATTTACAGAAGCATCCCAAATGTAAATAGGAAAAAGGACCATTCCAAAACAAAACTAAACTAAAATAAAATAAATCAGTCAACATTATCACTTTGATAAACTAGGGAACAGTTTAGGTTCCCCTGCCCCCTGCAGTAAAACATTAAAGTACTGTGGTCAATTCTTTCAAAAGAGAATTAGAGCCACAGTGTGAACTTCTAAAACATGGTACCTCTGAGGTATATTATCCTCCTCTTTCCACATCATTGTGCCCAATGTCTGTCAAGTGGAAGATGAAGTTAATGGAATGTTGGAAATAGCAATAACAGACTCATAGAATTGGACTAACCAATCTCTAAATAGGATAAATTTCAAAGCACAAAAAGGATATCACACATTAGATTAGTTCATCTTGCATAACAACTAAAGTTTTACAGGAAACAGATTTTTCCTTTCGTTGAAAATACTGCTGAAACTCTATTTTCACCAAGACAGGCTTTGAGAACTGTGCAGTCTCAAAGGGTATCTGTGAAACCGTGTCCAAAAACCACAGTTGTTTATGAAACAAATTCAGAGACAAAGAAATAGATGGGCTCCAAAATTATCTGTGGTTAGGCTTGATATGCAAATAAGTGAAAAAGTATTCATAATCCAGGCTTCTAAGACAAGCCACAGTTCAATGTAATGGTATATACAGATAAGATAAAACGATATCTGGTTTATATGAATAGTACATCTTTCTAAGTATTCTGATTACCAATTAATGATAGACCCGCATAAGAAGAGGCTGTCACAGTTAGATTTGTCTCCACTGATCAGACAAATCCCACTGGAGCAGATTTAAAAAGAAAAAAGCTCTTCATACTTAATTCTTTATGGCTTTTTGCAACACAGCAACGTATTACAGCTTAAAGCAGACATCTCCTCACAGAGGAGAAAACAATTTTGCAGTCTAAACATAAAGTAAAAAATAAGTAACACAATGAATTCTGTATTCTGTTTGACCAAATACTTATTATACTGATGGTCAACAAAATCTAGAGATGACACGTGACATGCTGGGAAAACATAAATATTAATAATTAAAATTAATAATATTAGGTCCCTTGAGAAAAATTGCCAGGTTGATAGCAGACTGCAAAAAACAAACAAAACATGAAACAGAACCTGGTTTAAAACTAAAAAAAAAATATGCCAGCTAGAACATTAACAGCCATATAATATGCCCAAAGAAAATTCAAAACAGCTTTATTTGCTTTCTTTTTCCTCTTTTCCTGTTTTAATAATTGGGAAAGGGTGTGCCTCTGTATTAAAGACCCAATGTTCAAATGGAAGAATATCATCTTCAGAGAATAATAAATATAAATACCTAGAAAAGAACAACAAAAATGCATTATTAATACATTATAAAATTAGAAATACATAGTAGATGTAGCATATTTATTTTATTTATACTGAGATTTTATTATATTAAAAATTTGCTTAGTATTTCATTGAGAAGTATCCAAACTTCCACTGGAAAAAAAGAGACTGGTAATTGTATTTTAATTATGACGTTTAAGCTACTTACTGCTCCAACCTAGCAAAGTATTAATTCATAACTCATTTAAAAATCTGTTCAACTGCTTACTTGAGCGTTTCTGAAAGGAAGAAACTCTGTTGTACATCATCATGGCTTTTACGATTGCTGTAAACATCCCTCAGGCCAGAATAGCCACCATCTACTCTGCAATATTTTTCCAATGCCTGAATTTTAAAAAAAGGAGAAAAAAATTGGGTATTTTATAAGTACCTTTCTCAGTGCAAAACATTGTAAGGTAATTTGCACTATAATACCACTTCATAATTTTAAACTTACAGCAATTATCACAATAATAGCATATTCTGCACAAAACACATCAGTCATGCTGCACTGAAATTTGGAGTCAAATTAATATAAGTATCTTACTACAACTCTCATTATTTTTATGGCAACAAAGAAATTGCCTTTTTCTAATTCAGAAACTGACTTGTTTGAATAAACAAAAATAAATTATGTTATGTGGTTTACCCATATTGTTTCCATTAAGTACCTTTTGCCCTACAGATCTCAATTGATGCACATTTTTATACTGCATTATTTAGACACTATGATAAATGTTTATTCTCATATCGGTTTTATCCTTTTAAATTGGTAATTTTATTCCAATTTTGACAAAGCATCGATTTTGGTAGAACAAGTTGTAGCATTAATTTAAATGAAAATAAAAACATATGTAAATAATTAAGATAATAATGAGAACAATTCTAACTGGGATTGGGATGAGGAACTGACAGATGGGTAGTCTTTAGTAGGAGTTGTCTTTTTCATAGCAGACTCCATTGCAACAACTGGGAAAAGAAATTAAGAGCCACAAACCCCACACTGATGCTGATCAAGAAAGTGACTATAATCCCTCTTGGGGAACCATGAAGCTTTAAATCCTGGTTATAATTCAAGATGAAAAAGGTTTCTGATGATAGAAAAAGGGTGAGGATTCATTTGATATTTTAATTCTGTTAGATATGAAGGATTCTGTTTGTACTCAAAGTTGTCTTGATCATCTTGTCTAGACATCTTATATCAATAATAGCTGAAACTATTGAAATGTCTGGAGATTACAAATACTAGGGGGGAAAATCATATATTAATCAAAGGTTTCTTTTCCCAACTTGTTCCTGTGAATTAATTGGATTTTAAAGATAAAAACAGAGAAAAAAGTGAAATTAAAAATGAAAATTGTATTAACTATGGCTAAATATGTTTTAAATATAACAAATTATCATTTTCTTTCTTTTTTCTTAAGCAGTAGATATAAAAAATGGGAAATGGTTGAAATCTCTCAAATGTCTTTTATCTGCCTGAGATAAATCACAGCCTACCAATTATATTTCTAATCCATTTAAACAGTATATTGCTCCATTTAAACAGTATATTGCTGCTAAATTCAAATAATTCTTTAAAATGGCAAATATATAAATTATGAGATACTTCAAAGAAATAACTTAAATGTCTTACCTCTACAGCTTCCCAACCCCACTGCCGGTACTTGGGATCATGAGTGAATCGCCACATATACATATAGGTTTCTATAACTTCAGGTCGTAAGATGTAATATTTTTCATTCTGTCTGGTAGCAATTGCTTCAACTCCACCGTCAAATCGGAAAGCTTCTGGTCCCAATTTCATACCTACACACAATATTAAAGTATTCAGCTTTATCAGTGCTGGTATGAAGCCTTTTCAAAAGTGTTAGTAAAGAACAATATCTTAATATATGTGAATTACTTTATTATTATATAACATCTTATAATTTTGAACTCCAAAATACAGGATTGTCCTGTTGTACAAAGAGGTTGGTAAACATTTGTTAGCCATCTGAAGGGCCACAGTAGGCAGAAAAATGATGAAAAGTGAGTAGATCTGTTCTACTTAATTTGAAGAGGAAGAACTCTGTCAAGTTTTACATTATACAGTAGCTTTAATGGGATTCTTGCCTCAACATGATAGGAAATTGTGTGATGTTTGTGCTCTGGCACTTAATAGCTGAGAAATATCCCAACATAAGAAAAACAAGGTTTGAAGCAATTGTAAATACTTTTTCTAGTGGTAGGGTCTAATACAGCAAAATGTTTTTGGGAGCGTTAGCTGGAACATTTTACAAAATTGTGTAATGGTATCTAGAGCAGGCATATCAAACTCGCGACGTCACATGACATCGTGCAACGTATCGGGACGGTTTTGCCATTGCCGGCAATGGGGTGGGCGCAGCTTCTGGATGACGTATCCGGCCCATGGGCCAGCAGTTTGACACCCCTGATCTAGAGCCATGAAATGTTCCTAAACATTGTTTTATTGTATTCAAAACATATTTTTGTTGAATCAATTTCTTGTAAGTTTTACACAACTAATCAAATTAAAACAAAAACGAGAAAATCAAACTCAAATATCAAAATATAACAAAAAATTCTGGGGAATACATTGCATTTTAAAAAAAAGAAACTACGTGACAGCTGTAGGGCAGGAGCTGGTAACACAGAATTCCCAACAACCCAACATGGCACCTGCAGACCCCCAAATTAAACAAACCAAAATGTTTAAATATATGGAGTTGAAATATATCATACATGCCTATTTTCATGGATGTTTTCATGTTCAAGCACATGGACTTGGACATGTATTTATTTTATTAATGGTTGTGAAATTTGCTATATTTCAACAGTGGCAAACCTAGGTTTCATACTGCACAATTAGCATTTCAGAATGAGTGAGGGAACGTGATAGCTTTTCCCTTTGTTACTTAAAATTCTGGCTGGAAAAGATTAGAATGATATGGATATGTTGCACCACTGATGAAGAACAGCTTTGTGACAATATATACACAGTAAAGAAGTTGGGTTGACCTTCATTAAGTTCTATGGACTGATACCTAAATTGGCAGATGTCTGATGATAGGCCCCCAAACTGATTATTCTTAGTCTGGTATTTTCTTTCCCATTAACTCCCACGGGAAGAAGAATTTAAAAAGAAAAAACAATCAAGAATGAGAAGGGCAAAAACATTCCTCTGCCTCTTACTCTGGGTACTCTGATCTAACAAGATTCCAGATGTGTTAACAGTCGTAGAGTGTCTCTCCTTAAGTTTCAGTGCACACAATTAGCCATTTAAGAAAATTACTCCATTTCTCTGCTACATATTGCTCCATTTCTGAATATATTAACCAAGTATTTTTAGACAGCATCCTGGAAAATTTTAATACTAATCTTCACATCAGACTGTTAATTCCAAGCACAACACTGTCACAGGCAAGGGAGGGTAACATTTGGCTCCCTAGGTGTTATCCAATTAAAGCTCTCTCAACATTGGTCATGCTAGCTGGGATTACTGGAGCTATAACTCAGCAAATTTGAAGGGCCATATATTCTCATTTCTGTTATAAGCAATCCAACTACTTCCCCTAGAAACATAAAGTACATTACAGATGGAAAACTTTATAAGGATACTTCTAACTCTATAATATGTAAAAGTAGGAACTACATGTAATAAAAATGTCTTACACAATTGATATCAGTTTGATTGGAAAAAGCCAAATACACTGCCCTGAATTCAAGTACAGGAATAAGCAACATTTTAAAGTCAGAACAACAGTACTCAACAATTTATAATTACCTGTACGATCATAAGATTCATGACATGTGCGGGCAATTTCAGCTCCAAGTTCAATGTGATGTCCAGTTTGATCAGCTGGTGCTCCATCTGCACCCAGAACAAACATCCCTCCAGCAAAACAAGTAAGATGACCCATTTTGTGTTCAAGGAGGCCACCTTTCCACTCAGCAATGTACATTAAACCGTTGCTGGATTTCCTGATTAGATGGGTTTCTATGGACTAGAATTGTTTAAAAAAAACTGTTATTAATCTATAATAAATAATTACAATAATATAGGTATCTAAATATTTTTCACATACTTGAAAGCACCAAACATAACACTTAAAAATGAGTTGGGGGATTGCCCATTTTGTTATAGACTGCTCAGTTTATCTCTACTCCAGCCAAAGTATAGAAAACATGATTAATGAACACAGAATGCAATTGTTGTTAATATAGAAGAATTAATACAACTTGGAAAAAGGGAATCATTGTCTCAAAAACCTTTGAATTAACCCTGAATGTATTAACAAGTATTTAGAACGGGGTGATTTGATAGACAATAGCTAAGCCATACATGATAGTAAGCTATAATATGGCTTGCTTGGAGTAGTGTTGTGTGAATTTAGTCAATTATAATTCATTCAAGGAGCATGGCTAAAATATCATGGCATACTGTGATATGTAAACCCAGTCAAGTAAATTTAAACTTTCAAAACGAAGCCTAGCCAACTCAGCCCAAAATGTATGACAAAGCCCTTAAGCAAAGGTTTTTGAGCAGATTAAGGTGTGGGATAGGAAAACAGATCCTCTTATGGATTTTTCAATTTTAAATTTTTTTTTTAAGAAAAGCAAACAGAATCAGTGGGCTTTGTTGAAATGGAAGTTTCTAAGGAGATGCTTGAGCTTATTAGTTGAATAAGGAACTTGTTCAAAAATGATTTGGAGTTCAGAATGATGAGTGAGCTGGCCCAGGTAAGGGTGGACAAATCAAGTTAGTCTTGCAACAAAAAGATTCCCAAATAGAATGGCAAATAAAAGGAAATGTGGGGTAAATGTAAACTATTGGCACATTGGGACAAAACAAAATCCTAATTCATTTTCCACTGGGTAATGGGTGATCAGGAAACTGTCTTCTCACACTTTCTCTTCTCCATTTCTAAAGCATGAAATGCCTAAAAAGCCACTACATGTAATGGAGTAGCTGCCACAGTAAAGGGAAGAACTGCTTTGTCAACGCAATAATCCTTTGGAGACTGGCTTTAGGTGATTTGATTCAACTGTTTTAAGAAGCAATAGCCCAACTCGTTAAATTGATTTATTTAAAGACAGGAACTAAAGCTAAATATCTCCAACAACCCGCAACTTCCATCTTCATTATAAAAATAAAATTGTTTTAATTTGTTTGCTATTTAAAAAGTTGCTTCTCTATAACATTGTCATTTACAGAAAAGTATACTAAATCGTTAGGTGAAGTTACTTAAAAATATTTATAAAAGGAGTATATATACAGTCAAAACGTTTTTTTAAAAACCTATCGTAATATTTGCTTTCACAGTTACATACAATAGTGTCCCAAGTTCTGTATAGTGTTTACCTGAACAGCGTTATAATACATTTGCTTGGCTTCTTCATCTGCCTTATCAGACATCAACCATGCTTTCAGCAAATATTCATAAAAACTATCCCCAAGTCCTCCAACAGAGACATGATCTGGGAAAAAAGTGCAAGAGCAATCTGGTAACGTTATATAACACAATCCCAAAGACAAAAAAATTAATGGCAAAATACTATAGAAAAGCCACATTATCAAGCTCTACTGTATCTTCTTTGATATATCTCTCCCATTAGACTACACTATTTCAAAACATGATGCTCTGTAGTCATAACAAGGGTTTAAATATGTGGCCCAATTCCCTCCATGTTGAAACAAGCAATTCCTAATCCCCAACAAACCTATTTTGTTTGGATCCATTCATTTTCTACTTGTAAATAATTTAAGCTGCTGTTATAATGAGGTGTCTTCTCCCTTTTCCGCATTCCCTGATTTTTATAACAATTTGACCTGTTAAGAATTCTGGAGAACTCAAACACTTACTTTTGTGTTATTTTGGTGATCCCTAAAAATGGTATAATTCAAAAATGGATTTTGATTTTTTTTTTGCAAACTGAATATAGCTTTAAATTAAAGGGAATTATATGCATGCTATTTGGGGAGAGGGGAGAAAGGACAACTTATTGTACATTAAAAGTCCTCAAATTATGGCCATTAAAAATGAAGAGAGGTAGGTTGTCCTCTAAAAAAGGACAGACATGCACAGAATTTTTTTTCCTTATTAAAGTTTTCTTCTTTAAAGAAAGTTTTTATGCCAACAGCCTGTGACTTGGCATTTTCTTTTTAAAAATGCTAGTTTTGCTTTCCTTTCCCAAAGAAACCTTATGTGATAAGATAGAAGTATGAAGAGTGGTTTCTCCATTGTAAAGAACATTTCATGAATTCAATTAATAGAAAAATGAGAGCTCCAACAAACAAATAATAAAAAAATGTATTTTTAGGGTGAAGGTTTGTATCTGAATAGCACCATATAAATGACCTTTACAGTTTCCTAAATAAATTACCTCAGAAAATCCTGACATTTGCAAATTAAATAGCACAAGCAGAGACTCATCAATAATAAGTCCTATTATTATAGCCATTGTTGCTTGAAACAAATCTAATTGACCTGTGATGCTGCAAATCACTTTCAATTTACTTCTAAAGTAAAAAAAAAAGCCTAGCTCAAAGGACAGAAAAAATAACAATAAAACCAGAGGAGACCCCCAAAGATATAGCTTGCTGGTTTCACAGTAACATGTTCCTAAACGTTCTTCTCTCCCAATTCAATATTTATCAGTTGCTGTGATAATGGTTTGGAGATTTTAATAATTCTCAAAATGTTTTATCAAAGTTGGTACAAAATGCAGCAACACGCCCAGTTATTTTGTGGGTGTAACACCACTATTCCATGAGCTGTATTGGTTGTCATTGTGCTTCTGAGTACAATTTAAGGTGCTGGTTGACATCTTTAAACTTCTTCCGGACCTAGAACTGGGCTATCTGAGGGCTCATCTCTCCCACTTGTTTTCACCCATCCACTCCAGTCAGGCAGGATGGGTGTGCTTCAAATCCCGCTGGCCAAAAAATGTGTGTTTTTTTCTGCTTGTGGAACATTCTCTTTCCAGAGATCAGAATGGTCTCGACCTTGCTGGCTTTTCGTAAGGCCCTGAAAACCTGATTCTCTGCTGGGTCCAGGGCCCTGAGAGTATTCAGGGACAAGCTTCTTGGTTATGCAAGTGTTTGGGGTTGATGTTACTTGGTTGCTGTGTATTTTAACTTTTGTAAAGTTTATAATTGTTTTTATTTTATTTTAACTCTATTTACTGTCCAAACTAAGTCATTAGTTGTGATGGACAGTCATATGACTTGGATAAATAAAAATAAATAAAAAGGAAAACTTTGGTTTAGAAGGGTTTTATTTATTAGCGTAGAGAGTTTCAATAAGAACTTGAGTTTAATTATGTGAATCAATAAAAACATATTTGCTCGTACTAATACAGTATATACTAACATAGTATTATCATACTAATACAATAGTATATCTCCTTTCTTGTATCTCTTATGTACCACTTTTTAAAAGAATGGGATTTTTTACTACTGTGCTAATCTCTGCCTGTTACTAACTGGCTCTAAAGTTCACCCTTCTAAGGAAGCATACTGCTGTATTTCCTTATCTCTCCTGCAGTAAAGTACAGTACAGCCAGTTAGAATAACAGAGAATTGGTACAACTTGTACGTATAACATAGTGATTATGTTTCCTTTCAAAGAAGTTTCCATACTATTAAGAATACAGTACCTCTCTCTTCTTTTCTGTTGCCTAGTATCCTTATGAGTTATAAAACAATTCTTTCTCAACTGAGGTCTTTTACTAATGTATATGCATGCACAGGGCTGTTGTTGATTAACATTTTATACAAAACAGATGTAATACTGAAGCCTTTGCTCTTGGATCTTCAGGGTGTAACAGATCAATGACTCATTGCAATCTGCTAGTTTAATGAAATAAGCAATAATTTGGAATCCTCTCTAGCTGTTGGCTTTATTAGACAAGCTTTCTACCACAATTAGCACAAGAAAATCCATAACTTAAGATGCTAAGATACCCAATATTATATACATAAAATAAATACCTTCAAATGTTCAGAAAACAAAATACTAACCTCTGTGGCAATCATTCAAGGAGAAATACCCAAACTGACTGCATAATTGAACTAACTTAGAAAACATATTTTTCTTTTGTGCATACTATATTAAACAGAAGTACTTACGCTGGCCCCATTGACCACTGTTGGGGTTTAGATAATTAGGATAAAGTCCTTCTGGTTTATCTAATCTATTTAACACTTTTCGAATGTTCATAACCTATTTCAAAACAAAAAAATTGGAGGTTTTTTAACATAAACATACGTATATAATACATTTTCATAAAAACATTCTTTAAATATTGGTCATAATATTATTCTAACTTAAAAGTAAGTATTCCTTCAAGGTACTAATTAACAACTCAAACAACAGCTTCCTTCATGATACATATTCCACTGGAATGGATCTGCCAAAGCACATGTGTAATGGATCTTTATCAACAATATTGTTTTAAAGGAAACCTATCCAACATGGATGGAAATGTAAAAATAGATCAATACTGAATACATAGCTTAGTTCCATTTGGAGAAGTTATCTCATTTTACTGTATCTTTTACCGTATCAGCCACATCTATGATTATATACAAAGCATATTTAAAGCTGTAATAGATTTGGATGTTACAAACACAAAAGTTAGAAAGTACCTTCCTGGCTCAGTGACTGGAATAGACTATTGTCCATAACAAGTATTATGGAAGCACAGGCAAGATACTGCTTATGAATATAAAGATCTAATGCATAAATGTGGAATGAGCATAACCAGGGCTTTTTTTGTCATAGAACGCCCAGAACGGAGTTCCGGCACCTTTTTTGGATGGAACCTTGTAGGGTAGGCAAGGCAGGTTGTATGAGGTGTGTGAGTTCTGGCACCTTTTCTTTTCAATTCTTTCTTTCTTTTTTTTTTTACAAAAAAAGCACTGAGCCTAAGAGAATCCTTGGCTACCTCTTGTCTTTTTCCTGTGCTTTCCAATATCACAGGGTAGCCTTTACTAGAGCAAGATTTGAGCATCTATATACTATGGTCAAATATGGACAATTCTATCAAGTGCCATGTCTTGAGAGAACGTGTTTGTGGAGCATTAGAAATAGAAGATATTGCACATGTTCTATTAAATTGTCAATTATATGCCACAGCAAGGGCCCTGTACCTATATACATTATTTGACTGGACCACAGTCAGAGCACAAATGTATACTGTATGTAGTCACTAAAACTGTTACATTTATAGTCAGGCCTGTTCAATAAAAAACATGTTTTGTAGAACACATTGGAGTTGCATGCAATGGTGATGAGTTCACTTAAGCACGCACTGTTTTTCAACTTTGTCATTTCATATCTTTGCATTCTATTTTACCTTATAGTATTTCAATACTATTTTACCTTTTCTTTTATCTTTATTTTATCCATTATATTTTAATCTATTTTATCCCACCATAGGCTATTTTATCACACTTCACTGGATCTTACCTTATTTCATTTAACTGTGTCTTATTATAGCTCATGGCTAGGGTCAATTGATTACCATACCCCACCATACTGAGCCTTACCATTCCTGTGCTTTCTTCCCATGTAACTAATAGGGAAGCTCTTGAGTTTAGTTTCATTCTCAGCAAACCTTGGCTTGTCTGTGCTCAAACCAACTATCTGAAGAAAACCCTCACCCAAATTCTTTTTCAGCTTTATTTTACTTTAGTAGTATTTATTTATGTCCACTATTAAATAAGATGGAGGACAGCTAAAATAAAATATATAAATAGAGAAATATGTTTCTATAATTGAAACATAAAGGCAAGTAAATAAAACATCAATTTTTAAAAAGTGAAATTATTTGTACAAAACCTTTGGTCTAATCAATATTTAAATTAAACTAGTCTCTTGTTGAATAAGATCTCCAAGAAAGGCAAAGAGTTAATTCTTTTAGCTGCAAGGGTAGAAGAGAGAAACATGTGAATCTGAGATTTTACTTTAATGTTAACCTTGTTTTAGTGTTACATGAATACTTTCTCAAAGTTTCATTTGTTAGTAGTACAAGGTCAAGGTCACTATGATTTCAAGAAAGTTCTTGAACCTTACTAAAAGTGCCCTTTGAAATTATTATGTCTAGAGGATCTATACTTAAATAAAAAATGTATACATTCCAGATATTTGGTTAGCAATTGACAGGCCATTTAAAATAGAAATCTAACCTTTTCAGCAAACAGCGGATTTCCAGATAAGTAGCTTAAATGTATGAACTCCAAATGGAGTGTTCCAAATTCTGCCAAAATACTGCTTCCACCTGAAGCCCAGGGCCAGTTTCGACCAATGCCACTAAAAAAAAAGGTAGGGTAAAGTTAAATGAAGTGGAGAAATTTAATTTAAAGTAGTGTGAAATTGAATGTTGTCTACATTTTTTCTGGTTTAGAACTCCCAGCTCTCTTCATCCTTGAATCAAATGAGGTTGAAGGAAACTGGAGTCCAACATCTGTATTTTACTATTTGTTGAAGCAAGATAACTGTCAGGAGCTCAAAAGGAATTTCTCTTTTGAACATTTCAGCATTATCTTCTTTTGCTTTTTCTCCCCTATCAGTATTGTTAGTTAATTAGCCAGAGAAGATCATTACTTAAGAATCAAGTTTCATCAATACTCCCAGGGCAGCTGTACTGTTGCATCATTTTTTGTGATTATGAATACTCTAATGAATGAAGTCCCTATATAAAAATAGAGTAAACCCAAGAATTTTGTTAACAATAATTTTAATTTGAGAAACCATTACACGTTCACATATTGATGTTCAAAAGACCACAGAATGTGAAAGTACTTGAATGGGTTTCCTCTGGAAAATATTTCTTCTTAGTTACTTCTTGATATCTAAAATTTCTTTCTTTTTCTATCTTCCTGACCACAATATTTGAACTTAGAAAAATGAGTGGAAAATAGATAAGATAACCTTTATTGTCACGTTTTTCTGTGAACACAATGGCACACATTAAAAAATGAAATTCTGATGCCCGCTCGCAGAATGTATATGTATATGATTAATATGATTACATATTAATATGATTATATGATTATGATTACACAAACCACACACACACACACACACATCACATTCCATTTTGAATACATAGCAGAAAAAAAGAGTCTTGACAGTTAACAAGGTTGATATTATATGGTACAAAACTATCACAAAATCTAGTTGTTCTGCTTTGGATATCATAAAAGCCTCCTCTCAGAAGGTAATAAAGAAAACTACTCATGAAGAAGATGTGTAGCGTCACTTACAATACTGCAGACCCTGGTCAAACGGCGCTTATATGGATAAAAGGAAGTGAACTATCAATAATCTGTTCTGCTATTCTCACTATTTTCTGCACAACCTTCCTGTCCGAAACAGTAATATTTCCAAACCATGCACTAATACAACATGGCAGGATGCTTTCAATTGTACCTCTATAGGAAATGATAAGGATAGGGGAAGGAAGATGTGCTCTTCTCATACAGCTCAGAAAATGCAGGCTCTGCTGTGCACACTTCACCGGTGTTTCACTGTTGAGCGACCAAGCTAACCTGTTCATCAGTTGCACACCCAGAAACTTGATACTACTAACCACCTCCACAGTTGAATCATTAATACTGATGTATGTGGCTGAGCCTGCCTTTTCTGAAATCAGCAGCAATCTCTTTGGTTTGTAGAATAGAGTAGAGTAGAGTAGAGCTGGGAGGGACCTTGGAGGTCTTCTAGTCTAGCCCCCTGCTCAAGCAGGAGGACCTATACCATCTCAGACAGGTGATTGTCCAGTCTCTTTTTAAAAATTTCCAGTGATGGAGCGCCCACGATTTCTGGGGGTAAGCTATTCCGCTGGTTGATTGTCCTCACTGTCAGGAAGTTTCTCCTTAATTCCAGGTTATTTCTGTTTTTGATCAGCTTCCAACCATTGTTTCTCGTCTTTCCCTCTGGTGCTCTGGTGAACAACCTGGCCCCCTCTTCTTTGTGGCAGCCCCTCAGATACTGTCCTACATTTAAAACCAGGCTGTTTTTATTATACCAGTTCATCAAACTCTCTATCTCCTCCTGGTAATCACCCTCATTATCATTCTGAATGAGGCCCACCAATATTGTATCGTCCGTATTATTTAGGAAATTATGGAGCCAGGAATGTTTTTTTGTTTTTGTTTTGCTTCAAGACCACACACTTCTGATGAGATTTCCATGAATGTTATTTTGAAAAATAAGTATATAAGTATATATCTTCCATCTGATTAATGGAAGAAGGGTGCCCAGGCTATTAATTAAATGCATGAATACTCCAACCAAAACAGACACATTAATTAAACATTATAGAACTAAGAAACACAGGTGCAAAACTCATACAATAAAATCTGAGAAGACAATTAAAATCCAAGTATGCCAAGACATTGTATAAAAATATTGTCAGTGCAAAGAAGAGTAAGGAGGGAGCTAATCCCCTTCTCTTAATATGGAGCTCTATAATTAGAGAGCTACTTTGTTAGGGTAGTCTTATGATTCTACCAATTCAAAACCTATGATTGATCGCCCAAAACTGCATAGGAACTCTATATTAAAACTATAGGGAGTTGTGCAGGAAACACCACCCCCATACCAAACAGCTCCTACTCCAGGTCTGGATTACTAATTATGTAGGCTACTAAAACCCTCCTCCTTCATTACTTAAGAAAGTAGCATCTTTCTCATTCTAATTCATATTATTTCATGTGAATTTTTTTTTAATATGTTGACTTTTTAAAACTTTCTTGATGTGACTTGTTTTTATTCTGGTAGAGTTAATATACCTGAGTTATAGACCAAACTGCTGATTTTAGACATTTTGTTAATTGAACAACATTGATTCTGAGAAAATATAGCTGATTTGTATGAAAAAAATGGTGGATTCAAAATTTTAAGAAAGAAGATTTAGAAACAGCTTTTATTTGAGATGATTCTGCAGTTATGAGTGATGTTTCGGGAACAGTGATTTGGGAAAGAAAAGGTTCCAGTTCATATACTTAATTGTGACCTTTACAGCACATGTTCATGGTTTGTTTTCAGAACCAAAAGCTATTAATGTTTCCATTCATACATCTTAACTTCAGTATGGCAACAAGACCTGGATCAGACTTATTATCATGGAAGACTGGAATATCCACCATTGCTTCCAGTTCTAAAAAACAATCATGGATTGAGATATATGCAAGATTTTCTAACTATTTGTCTCACTGATCCCTGGGTTGAAAGCTGGAAATATTAAGTTTAATGGCCTGACTGAAAAATGGCCATGTCCCCAGGATGGACCTGATTTTGCTAGTAATGGAAAGCCTCTGTCTTGCTCCCTGCTGCTCCTATTGACTTACACTGAAAATCAGCTGTGCCTGCAACTTGCAACAAAACATAGGAGAAATGACTACCTGGTAGCAATTCAGGGGATCAAGGAACTTAAGTGGCAAGGAATACAGGAAAGTTGGTCTGCAAGATTAACTTATTCAATATAGGTTAAATGGTAAGCTTTTACCTTTTGATATTTAATAATGCCCAAGGGATTCCTGTGGGGGTATTAAAAGCTGGAAGCAACTTCTCTCCTAGTTCTACTGCTTTTTTTCGGAATATCTAAAAATGGAAATAAATAAGAGTTATGCAACACAGGAGAAAATGAAAACAAGGTTTCTATATTTTAATCTGAAATTTCAGATAAAACTCAGAATATTTTTCCAAAACTTTTTAAAAATATTTGGCAATTTGGCTAAATCAGATTCTGTTAATATAAAACAGAGTATTAATTACACTTTTATTTTTTTAAAAAAATATTTGATGGGAATAAGGGTGAGCACGAGATGATACTTCAAACTGTTATGAATTAGACTTGCCTGTCAACTAACAAAAGGCCAACTCATAACACAGAGAAAAACAGGATTATTTTAATAAAACAGAAGAAACAAGGGTTGAGGCTAGAAACTGGGACATTGTGAGTTCTAGGCCTGCCTTAGGCTGGGCGACAGTCATTCTTTCTCAGCCAAAGGAATGAGACAAGAACAAATCTGGGCAAAAAGACTTAAGGGACTAGTCAGGCAAATGCCAGGGGTCAATACTGATTCAAAGGCACCAAACAAACAAACAACACATCCAATCTTACCTCTTCGCCAGAAAGATAGTATGCTGAAAGTAATCCTCCAACAAAACGGATGTTTACTTCAAAAACTGAGATTTCTGCATTCTGGAAATGTAAATATATTTTAAACTATAAATTAATGTGAACACAAAACATGTAATAGCTTTCTATTATTGTTCTTAATACTGTTAGTATCTGTATTTTGCATAATACTGAGGGAAGTTATGCTTCATTCCTCTAAAGACTGTTACAAACTTATTTATGGAATATTAGTCTATGAAAATGAGATTAAATGAACATCTCATCTAAAGGGAATTCAATCAAGTAATTTGAGATTTACAGATATGTGTGTTTATAATTTTCTGCACCTGAATTATTCTCTCACTTCTTCCCTTGGTCCAGTTCCATACAGAATGTGCATCTGATTCTGACCCAAAGACTACTGTGACTCACCTATACTGATCCACCTTGTACTCTCCTTCCCCTACCTTCCTGAGCTTGTGCTGCACCGCTGCACCCCCCCAACTCATGTATGGCCTGTGGTCCCAGTGCCTCCCCCATCCATCTGCAGCATCCTTGTATTCTTTACCTGAGACTTCTTCTGCCTCTTGTTTAATGACCCACGTGTCTTGGGTGATGGTGATAACTGGGACTGCCTGGATTGCTATCGCTAAGAGATGCAGTCATGTGATACTGCACTTTATGACCACTTTGTTTAGTGATGGCAATCCCAGCTCCAGTTGCAACCGTAACTCAAGGACTACTTGGATTTTTTTTAAAAAAAAAACATGGGAAAAGAGGCTATGTGGAGTCTTGATTTAGAGCAGTGGTTCTCAACCTTTTTAATGCCGCGACCCCAACCGGTCGTAAGTCGAGGACTAAACCGGTCGTAAGTCGAGGACTAAACCAGTTGTACGTCGAGGACTAAACCGGTCGTAAGTCGAGGACTACCCAACCGGTCGTAAGTTGAGGACTTTCCCTGCCCGGGAGCGCCGCGCATGCGTGGTTCCGCCCCCTGCGCCGGCCGAGGCGTAGCTGGCAAGCGGCAGAGATGGAGCAGGCCGACCACCAGCTGGCCCAGCCCAAGTGAGGTAAGGCACCCGCCAGAAAAGGGGAAAAAAATGGCGGACAAAAAAAATGGCGGACAGCCTTGCTTGGCGACCCCCGTGAAATGGTTGATTGACCCCAAATGGGCTCCCGACCCACAGGTTGAGAACCACTGATTTAGAGACTTTTATTTTACCAGTTAACCAGTTATCCTCTCCAATAAATACTCAAATACTCACACACACTCAAACACATACACACAGAATCCACTGTTGCAAATAAGATACAGAATTTTCCTTCTAATTTTGGCAACCCACATATCCAAGATGTTCAGAACATAGTCTTGATATAAATGGGGTTCACCATCTGTTGCTCTATGAATCCTCCCAACTACTATTTATCAGCTGCAAGATTTTCAGTGGAAAACTGGCAGTTGTGTCCTTTGCTCCTATTCTCATACGCTTATCCTCATATTCCTTAAAAAAGAGAAACTGTCAACTACCAGAGAAATCAGAAGATCCAGACAGTTCAAATGAATATAAAGATTTATTGCAAGCTTAAGCTCTCTACAAAACTCTGAGCTACTAAGGGAAGGTCAAGGGAAATAAGTGGAAATTAAGAAGGCATTTAGGGTGAGCTGGACTTGCAGGTGCGCAGGGACTCATGATTTATGATGCGTATGATCCCTCCCTCGGCCTTAGCCTATCGCGACTTTTTCTCTATTGCCGGCAATGGGGTGAACATGGTTTTGTCATGAAGCACCCAGCCTGCGGGCCAGTAACCACATTAAAATATTTTTTAAAATAATGTTTAATATAAAATGTAAATTTCCCTATACTATTGACTTCCAGAAGCACCCACACTTTTCACAAGATGGATTATCAATTCCTCCTCCTCTCAAGAGTCACTTTTGGTGAGGAATGGCAAACTGACATTCATCGGATTGTGAGAAATATTGTGGCCAAAAACGCAGATGGATATTGCATCCAGACTGTCAAAAATTCTCTCTGGATCAAGAAGAGATTTTGGGATTACCCTTATGTACTCTGGACAATTGTTGTTGGTTTTTTTCTGTGAGTAGACAGCAGAAACTGATGTTTTTGTAGTCTCTTGCTATCAGTTACGTGTCATAGGAATCCATAATGCTCAGAGCTGCTAATGTAGCCTTTTATGGACTCAAAGTTCCCCCAAACCTTACCTTTGGAATCACTTTGGAGAGTTTTTTCTTATGGTTTTTAAAGATTTAAAAAGCTTCAGAACTGTGGAATTTGTTAGGTGAGTTTCTCTTCAATCCATTTAGAAGAAAATTATGTGCTTCAAGTTTTATAAGTATTTTTTTCTTTGCAATTTACTACAGCAAAAG